AAAACCTATTCTAGCTCTCTCCTAATATGTACTACCTGTTACGTGCCTTTCCTTTTGGTACTTTGTACTAATTTATTCATGCAGACACTGAGCTTATGATCTGTAGTACCCCAAATCTTCTCTGGGGATATCTTAGTAAGTTGGCATCATATTTCCATGCTGCCACCCACCTGGCTTTAAGTGAGATGTTGCATTACTACATTGGTAGGTTCCTTCAGCACTTTTGACTGAATACTGTCATGTATTTAGGTGATTTACTACTGCTCTTTTTGCCTATTTCTTCCATAATACCTTCTACGAGAGCCTGTGATGAGGATACCTGGAGTGTGAGACTATTCTGTTAAGCAAAATTGTCTGACTAAAAACTTTGCAAAACTGGGGTGATGAGGAAAAAGAGAACAAGCTTGTAGACAGAAATCCTGACCAGGCCAGTCAGCACGCTGGTCCAACTAAGCCTGTCCCTGCTTACCGCAGCCTGTCCCGTCACCTTGTGTCTTCTTATTAAATCTTTTATTAACTATCTTCTCTGCGTAATTTCACTCTACCCCATGTGTGGAGGTGCTGCACAGATCATGTGCCAGCTACTGGTGAGACACATTTGTGCATGGGTGGAAATTGGTGACAGCTACTGGAGTAGGGGAGCCTCAGGTCTGGGACAGGGTATCAGCTGGGTGAGGCGTCCATGCTGGTACACCCAGAGGATCACGTAAATGTGGGGAGCATGAGGGATGAGTGTGTGTGCCGTGTGTTTTGCTAGAGAGCACCAAGCTGGGCCAACAGGTAGGAGCCATTGAAGGGATCAAGCCTGGGATTATTCCTCCTGGGTTTGACTATTCTATTTGTTGGGCTACCAAGCCCTTGGGTGGGACAGGAGGGTGAATATTAAAAGTAGAACCAACAGAAACTGAAGAACCATGGCCCCCTCCCCAAAACCTATACCCAGTCCCAAAGGAATTAAGAGGATGTACAGATTGTCATCTGGGTATTACGTGATAAGGCAGCATCAAACAGGGCACTTCACGCACCAAGGCCAGTTAGAAAACTGCTGCTCTGGAATTAATGCAAAGGTGCCACACAGATAGGTTCCTTCTAAAACATGGCTGGGGTTCCCCTCTTGCTGCTGTGCCTGAGCTACTTTGCCAGGCCACATGACAATCTCGCTCATCCTGGCAAAGTCTGGATGAACACAAAAGCCAGTAGCTGGCTCCTACAGTTTAGACTTAGTTGTAGGCATCCAGTCCTAACCTTGTTTTGAGGTAATGCAGCCTTCAACTTTACAATTAATATTATGCAAGAAGCTAAGATCACCTTTATTGTGATTGGTGATACATTGTATGTAATGATTAACAAAAAGACCTTAATGGCTTTACAGAACAGAACAAAAGCATTAATAGATGTAGTACTGTAGTTTCAACTGCTCTTTACAGTTGTTGAATTAGAAAGGTCAGACAAATAATTACAGTTTTAATCTATTGCCACACAGATAGAATTTGTGCATCCATTAGCTAACAGCGTACATGTCTCAAAAATTATGAAAGATGAACATGATGCAATCGTTGACAACAGAATTTTGCATTTGGCGATTCTCTCTCATTCCCACAATCACGCTTACCTTCAGGAAGATAACATAAATTTCTTGGTTCAGCCCTTCAAGCTGGCAATTCTAATGCTGGCTCTTGGGGAACATCTGCTTGCTGACTGACTCCTTTATTCTTGCGTTTGGCTTACAGCTTCAGTGAGGTTATTTTTCTTTGGTACCTCCTTTCCCGTAACTTTGGTCTCTTCAGTGGCAATAACAACTTCTTCATGGACAACAACTCCAGGTTGTTCATGCATCTTGATGAAACGCTGAAGTACTTCAATGTCTGTTGAATGAAACAAGCATAATTGGAATCTAGCTGTGGACAGAAAAGTGGTTTTTAACACCTTCATAGAATTTTCCAGTTACCTCTCCTCAAGGAGTCAGAACATGGCAGAGTAAAAATGTCATTCTGCTTGTTTATAGAGGAACTCTGTTTTTTTGCATCCTGCATACGGAGGTAGAATGCCAGAAGATCTTCTTCCCTCTTCCGTCTTTTGGTGGGGTGCTGCTTCTGCCGGGGTGTTGCTGGCTCATCATCTGTCCAACTGATCGTCTGTACATGCTGGGTTGTTTTGTCCATGTATTTCCCACCTTCCAAAATGTCACAAAACAAATGGTGACTATTAACTTCAAAATGAGAATCAACCAAAGACAGAGTAATGAATGGCCCAAGAAAGCTTTGTTAACATTTCTCAAGAAACAAGACCTTTATCTCTGAGATCTTTGTGGTCTCTTCACCTATCGGTTCAGTGCTGGATGCATAAACTAGCTGTAAAGTCTGATTGCACAAAGCAGTCATGGCGTAAGTGTTTAAAAATTAAGTACACGTTCAACAGAACAACAGCAAAGGTTATAAGCAAAGATCAGGTAGTAAAGCTTATTGAAAAACTTACCTATGTTCATCTTTTGCATACAACCAAGAGTGGGACAGTTGTACGGTGTGTGAGAGAATTCAAGTATTTTTTGTCAGGAGAATCAATAGTTTTTCATGGTGCTGATCCTAATAACGCCTGTTTCCCTCCTAGGTCTTTGTTGATAAGTAGTAGACTGATTAGTAATAGACTGCTGATAGCCAAGAGAAAAGATTTGTCCCCCTTTCTTCTTCATGAGAAGCTGATCACCAACTGTCAAGGGAATGAAAGTAGATGCTGAATTTATTGTTGGCTAAAACAAAACCAAAAGCAACTGCTTCATACCTGCAGAGTTTGCAAAACCTGACTGGCTTAGTTGCTGCCTTTGTGAAATAAGTGGAAATGGTATGCTGAAACTTGGCGTATTCATATAAGGCTATAAATAGAAACAAGTACTGTGGAATAATGGCAGGAATGTTTATTGCAATATACTTCCTCTATAGGCTTTAGAGTCAAGCTTAACCTGTTTGTAATGGCCTACAGCTCACCACGAAGAAGTTGAAACTGCCAGAAAAGGAACTGACAAGTTCATCTCAGCTTCTAGTGACCAACTCATTGCAATATGTCGAGGTAGAAACTAGTAACAATTATCTCAGGTAGAAAATCAGTGTAACAAACCCCAGTGTGAGATCTGAGGAAAAATCTATTTAAATCTATTTCTATTCTTCTACTGTTCAAATTCCTCTTAACAACAAGCTGGTGTTACATGGGGGATCATTACTGAAGAGTCCGGTGGGTTTGAAAGTGGGTATGGGTACGGTAGTGTTGGGTTGATGGTTGGACCAAATGATCTTATAGGTCTTTTCCAACCTTAGTGATTCTGTGATAGTTACACCCTATCATATTGCTTTTACTTTTCACAATAGTAAATGTCACCTGACCTGCTGTCACCAGCAAGTTCTGTGAAGGGCTTCTGTAGTGTTTTATTACCAACCTTTGTTTTTACAGGCCTGAAAAGCTTACTCATTTGCTTTTTTTGCTGGTGGTTCGGTTTCACTCTTCACTCCCTGTTAAGATTAGGTTAATTATGTTTGTTAAACACCACAGGCCTCTCTACACAGCACTCGTGTGACACATCTGGAGCCCAGTGCTCTGAGCTCTCCAGTACAAGACAGACATGGATGTACTGGAACAAGTCCAGATAAGGGCTCAGTAATGATTAAGGGACTGGAGCATCTCAAACAGAAGGAGAGAATGAGAGGCTGGAACAGATAAGGCTTGGGGGAGGATCTTCTCAGCATGTGTAAATAATGAACAAGAGGGTGTAAGGAAGATGGAACCAGGGCCTTCTGGGTATCCAGTGACAGGACAAGAGGCAATCGGCACAAGACGAGAAGAGGAAATTCTGTATAAATGTACGAAAAAAGTTTTTAGTAAAAAAGCTTGATAGCACCCTGGCAGAAGCTGCTGCAAGAGTCCATCCTTGGAGATACTGAAACCCAGAGTGGACCCAGTCCTGGTCAACCTCCTCTGACTGACCCTGCTCCACGCAGGGGTATTGGACTGTATGATCTCCAGAAGTGCCTTCCTGCCTCAACTATTCCATGATTCTGTGATCTTTAAAAATTGCTGTATGACAGATTATCTATCAAGCTGAAAAGTGTAATGTTGCCAAGTTTAAATGCCATGAAAAACAGGTCAAAGGCCATGTTACTATCAGGAGTACAAATTACAAGTTTATTAGGGAACCACAGTGAGACAGTCCAGCTACTGAGCCTCTACAGCAGCAGCCTGTTAGTTTTGCTCTCACCAAACCTAAACAATAGAGAAAATGGTGAATCAAGTCTCCAATTACTTAAAAAAAAAAAAACAAAAAAACCAAAAAACACCCAAACCAAAAAACAACACAAAAAGTCCCCACACAACTCTGAAAAACCCTTGCAGGTCTGTAATGTATACGCTTTTGACATAGTTAATGTATGAAACCGCTATTCCATGAATACAGGCACACAGGATCTTAAAAGAGAGCCTAGAAGACAAAAATCTAAATGCTTTATCAGACAGTAGTCACTCAGCAAATATATACAGAAAGTTGTGTAATATGTTTGATACATATGCGTTTAGAGAGATTTTATGAATACACAAAAGCATTTTGCCTGCTACAAAAGTTTAGCAAAATTTGAATATCACCTGATTCAGTATTTTCAGTATTCTGATTAAAATATACAGTCCATAATATATAGCAATATGCACAACCATTTTACCAGTGTTCTCAAAATTTGATATATACTTCCACAGCTGTTGAATTACAAAGACTCACTAATTTTACTGACACATAGCAGACTTGAAATGGAGTAAAACCAAGTGCAGTACTTGGGCTAATTTCACAAGATACAGAAAGTCCATTTTCCTGAAAATTCAATTTTAGCAAGTCAGATATTATTAATGCCAGGTCACAGCAAAGTGAGTGTTATGCAAGGTTACAGCCAAAAATACCAGAGTCACATGTATCTTTAGTAAACATAAACACGCTAAATTATATCAAGTCAGTAAATGGATATATGATTTTAATAAATAAGCATATTTTTTAGCTGAGAGACATCTTCTTCTGGTGTGTTTGAAGGTTTGCCTGAAGAGTCTTTTTCTGGATTGCATAAAGCATCTGGAGTAGATGTGCTGTTTGTGACTGCTTCAGCGGCATAACTGTGCAACGTTTGCTCAAGCCTCTGAATACCTGGAGAAAGGAAATACAGAGGGAAATACTGACTGGGTGCATGGAAAAAAAAAATTAACCACGAGAGTGATTAAACACTGAAACACTCCTCAGGAGGTTGTGTAGTCTCTATCTTTAGACAGTCTCAAAACTTGGCTGAACAAGGCTCCGAGCAACCTGCTCTCTCACTTAGAACCTGGCCCTGCCTTGATGTGGAAGTTGTACTAGATGACCCAAGAGTTCCCTTTCAATCTACATTTTTCTGTAACCCTCTATGTGCTTCACAGACATCCACTTTGCCAGCAACATAAAGCATTCATTCAAGGTTAATCATTTTACAGCATAAGAGATGAATACATTTTTATGTGGCTCATGTTAGATATGAAAAATGGGGGGAGGTGGGGAATTCCCACATTATAAAGCATAATTTGAAAGAATACAAATCCCTTCACATAACATCTGATTCCTTATTTCCAATAAAGTAAATTTAAAAATTAAATAAATGAAATTTATTAAATTTATTAAAATTAAATCAATTTTAAAATTAAATTCCAAAAGCTTTAGAGTTTTTAACATAATTCAATGCAAGTGCTTTGTAATCTACGCTTTGGGCCAATTTCATATTTCTCAGTTCATACAAATTCTAAAAATGCCCCTCACAAGCTGAGAGAGAACAATTAGGCCTGAACTCATTATTTATAACACCAATGTTTCTTAAAACTTGCATGCTACTACATGCCATATTAAAATTAAAACCCACTTACTCAAGTAAATCTTATCTACAGAGTTGGAGAAAACCAGTCTAAACCATCCAGGTTCATAACAATAAAAAGCTTTTCCAGGACTGATCAGGAGTTTTTTATCAAGCAGCTTCTGCCATAATTCAAGTTCGGCTTCAAATGTCTGTGATTTTAAGAACTAAAAGAAGAAAATAATGTTTTATTAAAGGTTGAACACGTGCATAAATTAATTGAAAGGATTTTGCAGGATTTGATAAAGTGTGTAATAACACACACAAGTAATTTTTACATTTCCAAGCTGTACATTCCCACCCCTTTTCAAACTTCCTACGTACTTTTCTGAAGTCTGCCCACACATAAAGTCCTCCTGAACTTTTGAGCACGGGTATTCCAAGATCTGCAAGCCCATCCACAAGAATATTCTGTGCTTCTTTAAGTCGCTTTTTGTTGGTGGGAAAAAACACATTATCCAACCAATCTACCAAAGCAAGAAAAATGTAATTGTTTTATTTCCACCTGCAATGGCAAAATGAAACAGCTCAATGGAAACAGTTCTGGTGTGGCTAACCTCTGTCCCTAAGCAATTGACTGAGGACATACTGCACAGGTCCAGGACAGCTGTGGAAGATGGCCAGTTGATGCACAGCTTTCCGGATTTCATGATTTCTGGTGTACAATACTCCAACTCTGATACCACTCATAGCAAAATCCTTGAAGGAGAAAAAGAAGAGAGTAAGGTCTAATTTTTTACTTCATGTTTGTGCTTTGTCAAGCCACCAAGTCTAGAGTCATTGATGTATAGGAAAAGAAACCTTCTAGAGCAAATTCTCAAATGCCATCTGGAGTCCCAAGCATGATAAAAACCAGCCAGCAGCTTCTGAACAACCCTGTGGCAGGGAGGTCAGAGGGTCTAACAGGGTTGCTTTACAGGCTGACAACTGAAAACATGCTTGGCCCATACCCTTGGGCTGTTTCCCTTATACCCCACTACTGCTTCCAAGCAGTCATCAGTTTACTGTTCCCTGCAAGAGAGGAAAAGGCAAAATCCTACAGATCTGAAATGTGCTTTTATGTTTCAATGCCTTTAATATATATGTGTTAACTGTTCTATTAAATAGATCTCAAATTAAGCTCCGAACTTTAACAAATTTAACACTACCAAGAAGAAAACAAATAAATAAACAAGGAGAAACTCAGTTTGGCACCTGTAATGGAAATTATGTCAGAATAGCCTGAGTAATTTTTGTAGAGAAACATATTAAATTAAAACACAAACACAGTATTCTGACCTACCTTGCTAAAACCCCACATAAAATGTGTCCGTTCTGGATCTGGTAAACTGAATGAGAAAAGAGGAAGACAAGAACTGTTGCCGTAGAAGAACAAGTTATGCAGGTTACAAAAGTCTTTACATTTGTAAAATTGTAGTAATCTCTTAGTAGAATCAGTATTTAATCCTTTAAAGTGACAGAACATTTTTTCAGAGATCTTTTAACAAAACATTACCCTATGGCACTGATCTCCCAAGTGTGTGCTGAGGCACTGATTTACCAAAAAAACCAACCAAACAAACAAAAAACCCAAAGACCAAAAAAATAAACAGGAGGGATCTGCACAAAGATGTAACAGTCCAGTTAAAATTCCCAGATTCCCATTGCATAATCAGTGATCACACACATAATAAAACAAAAGCAGTGTTTCCACATGGGATGCACAACTGCTCTTGTGCTTGATGGAGAATTGTTTGCTCAACTGTGTTGCATTTCAGGCTAGGGAAGGGAGAAGCGAACATTTTTAGGTCACACAACTACACAGTGAGATGCAACTCAACCAAATACACCTCGGTGTACCACTGAGTATGATGGAGTTTTTCTCATTTGTGCAACTTTATGTGAGGCCAGGGCTGGAAATTTCCTTCTTCAGCCTCATGGAGCTGGGTGAACTTTCACAATAACAGCATTTTTGTTAGGCTTAATTTACGGTTCATGATTTTTGGGTAAGGGCTCATTGGGTTTTGTTTGTGCCTGAATGGACTTGGAAACTGCCCCATCAGTATGAAATTCATGCAGGTATATGAACAAAATCACATACTTCTGGGGAAAGGAGCGTTATTAGTCCAATACCAATAGGTTTAAATGTTTTTGAAACATTATTCTTTTCGTCACCTGTTAGGAAACTTAAGAACCCAACAGCATAGTAGCCAGGAAAGAGACTCATTGTAGCAGGTAACTTGCACCTCAGGCAACTTCATTACCGTTACAGTGAGAATCTTACACTCAGGCTGTGTGACAGGGAACAACGAGGAAAAGAAAAGTGGCAAAAAGTCTACAGGACTCTGGTGATTTTTATTGTTTTTATGGTATCATACCCATTAGCTGGAAGGAAGAGATTGGCCATTTAAAGTTGTCTATGAAAGTCTCTTGTATTAACTAGTCTCACCGTTGCAAAGACTTGTATACGAGTTACTTCAAGCTATACCAGTTATACTAGCTATTAAATATCTTCTAATCCCTGCTAGGAAATCGCACTTACCGATCTAAGCTAAGAACACTGGTGAAGGTGGTGTCATCATAAACAGACAGCATGTATATTTCATCCATTATCACATGCAGTTCATATCTATTTATAGAAAAATACAGGTACATTAACATATTTAAAAGAAAATATTTATATGTTTAAAAGGATTCTCTTTGCATATATATATACCTTTTAATATAGATATAAAATTTTATATATAT